CCCATGCAGCTGTGCCTGCCCTGGCAGGGGCACATGGGCTGGGGCTGGTGGGCACTGGGCTGGCAGGGAGGCGGGCAGGGCAAGGCAGGACTGGGGGAGGGAGGGGATGGGCCCCATGGAGGAGACAGGCAGGGTGGCAGGGGGGACGGGCCCCATGGGGGCAGAGGCGGGGAGGGTAGGAGGAGGATGGGGGGACAGGCCCCATGGGGGAGGCAGTGGGGAGGCAGACAGGGCAGGAGGATGGGGAGACGGGCCCCATGGGTGAGGCGGTGGGGAGGCGGGCAAGGCAGGAGGATGGGGGACGGGCCCCATGGGGGCAGAGGCGGGGAGGGCAGGAGGAGGATGGGGGGACGGGCCCCATGGGGGAGGCGGTGGGGAGGTGGACAGGGCAGGAGGATGGGGGACGGGCCCCATAGGGGAGGTGGGCAGGGCAGGGTGGCTGGGGGAGGCGGAGGGGAGACAGACAGGGCAGGAGGATGGGGGGACCAGCCCCATAGGGGAGGCGGCGGGGAGGCGGGCAGGGCAGGGCAAGGCGGGGGACCGGCCCCATGGGGGTGTGGGGGGCTGACAGCACGCTGCCCGTCCCCTCTCCCCGGCAGTACATCAACGGTGGGAACCTGGAGCAGCTGCTGGACAGCCCAGTGCCGCTCTCCTGGGCCGTGCGCGTCCGGCTGGCCCTGGACATCGCCCGCGGCCTGCGCTACCTGCACTCCAAGGGCATCTTCCACCGCGACCTCACCTCCAAGGTGGGCAATGCCCCTCCCCCCAGCTGACAGACCCCTCCCCGGCCCCCCGGAGTGCTCGCTCGCTCACCCACGGCGCGGGGTCTCGGGGGAGCCCGCCCCACCATTGCCCGGCCCGTGGAAGCCGCGGGGCCCCTGGGACGAGCCGGGGCTGGCAAGGTGCTGAGCCCGAGCCTCGCTCTGCCGCCTGGGGGCTGCCCTGTCAGGATGGCGTGAAGGGCTCATCACGGGCTCCCAGCCCCCTACGATCCCTGGGGGGACCCCTCAGTGCGACAGCCCTTCTCAGGGGTCCGCTCCCTCTCGGGGTCAAGCCCCTGCACCTCTCGGAGCCTTAGCCCCCCCCCCCCGGAACCCCCCCCCCCCGGGGCCCCCGGGCCCCCCCCCCGAGGGAATAATGCCCCCCGTCCCCCCCCCCGTCCCCACCCCCATTCTCTAGCCCGGAGCGACTCTCAGCCAGCGTAACACAGGAGGGTTTACTGAGCATCTGAACCCAGCACAGGAAACTCTCCGGGCCTCAGGCCTGGCCTCCCCCAGCCCAGCACATGTAGGTCTGTCCAACTCCGGCTGCTCTCCCAGCCCAGCCCAGAGGCACCCCCCCACCTCCAGCTGGGCATCTGATATCACCGGCCCCCAAGTCTCGCCTCTGTCCTTTGTCTCTGTCCCAGGTAAACAGGGTGGCCTGGGCCTCCTCTCCCCTCTCCTGTCCTCTGGCCCCTCTGGCTGGAACCGGCTGGTCAGGTCACTGGGGTCCTCTCCCCGCAGCGCATTGTCCTCCCACTGGCCAGAACCGGCTGACGGCCAAGCTGTGATGGGCCTCTTAGTCACCCAGTCACCAGTTGTCAGGGTTCCCCATCTCCAGGCCATTGTCCGGGGGTCCCGGCTGTCAGGCGAGGTCACACCTGGTCCCCTCTGCAACAACAAACCCTCTCCCACACAGGGAAACTGAGGCACGCACACGCTATTCATGTAAAACACTACAAAAATCCCCAACTTCGTCACACGTGGAGAGGGCCTGGCTGGATCCCCTGTGCTCCCTCAGACGCTCGCTGTCCTCCCCCGGGACAGCAGGGTGGGAATGCCCCTGCCTGCGGCCCTCTCGATTGCCTGTGGGGGGGCAGTGCGCCATGGGGCAGGTGCCAGGCGGGGCGGGCGGCGTGACGTCTCCTCTCCTCTGGCTCGCAGAACTGCCTGGTGAAGAGCGAGGACAACGGCTACACGGCCGTGGTGGGCGACTTCGGCCTGGCGGAGAAGATTCCCACCTACAGGTGAGTGGGGAGCTGCCCCCACCCCAGAGTGGGGCACGTCACCCAACAGGCCTAGGCAGAGGGGCCAGCCATCCCCTCTGGACCCTTCCCACGCCCAAGGCAGGGGAGCACCCACCCCCCCTGGAGATCAGGGCCGGCTGGGGGAGGGAGATCGGGGTAGTTGGGTGGGCTGTGGGTTGCCCCTGGCTGGAGGGCTTGGGGGAGGGCTTTGGAGGGGTGTGAGCTGCCCCTGGCTTGGGGTGGGGACCCATGGGACTGGGGGTTGCCCTGGCTGGGGGAGGAGATGGGAAGAGCTGAGGGTTGCCCGGCTGGGGAGGAGATGGGGGGGGGGGGGGGAGCTGAGGGTTTCCCCAGCTGGGGGAGGAGACCCGCGGGAGCTGGGGTTGCCCGGCTGGGCAGGGGGCCAGGCTAACCCTGCGGCTCTGCCCCCCAGCGAGGACGCTCAGAAGGAGCCGCTGGCCGTGGTGGGCTCGCCGTACTGGATGGCCCCGGAGGTGCTGCGTGGGGAGCTGTACAACGAGAAGGTAACTCGCTGCCTGCGCCTGGGGCCGTCCCCTGGCTGCGCCGGGCACAGGGGGCTGATTGCCTTTGCCACGCCTGGGCGTGGCCATTTCCAGGGGCAGTGCCAGCCTGGCAACCGGCAGGGCCCCAGCGGAGCGGGGGGATGTGTGTGTGTGTGATGGTGGGTCCTGGGGGTCGGCGGGGGGGAGGTGCTGGGAGGCAGCGGGGTGGGGTGTGTGAAGGGGCTGGCAGGGTGTGTGGGAGGAGATGGGGGGCAGCAGGCGGGGGTTGAGGGGGCCGGTGGGGGGGCGGGAGGTCATGGGAGGTGCTGAGGGGCATCAGGGCGGGGGGGGCGAGGGGGCTGTGTGGTCACTGACACTGTCCTTCCAGCATTTCCTGGAGAGCATCCTGAACCTGTCACTCCCCCGGCTAGTGCCGCCCCCCCCACCCCCCCGCTGGGAGAGGCTGGGACTGGGGTAGCCAGGAGCCCCCCCTCCCCCCCAGCCAGCGCCCCACCCTGCCCCCACATGCCCCCTGCTGGGAGAGGTCGGGGTTGCAGAAGCCGTGATGTGCCGCGCTGTCCGGCTGGACCGTGGGCCTGGCGGGAGCCGTGGGGATATCCTGGCTCGTGGGTGCCTGGTGGAAGGGCCGTCGGGTTCCCCTCAGTGCCGCTGCTAAACCCTCCCCTTCCCACTCCTCTCCGCAGGCCGACGTCTTTGCCTACGGCATCATCCTGTGCGAGAGCATCGCGCGGGTCCCCGCCGATCCGGACTACCTGCCCCGCACCGAGGTAACCCTCGGCTGGGCCGACGAGGGCCTGTCCTCGGGGTTAGGTGTGGGGCGGGGGCGAGCCAGAGCGTGGCGGGGGTGCAGAGGCCTGTGAAACCCCCCTTCCTCCCCCGCCAGAGACACGGGGCCCTGCTCCCCGGCTCCAGGGACGGCTCCTGTGTGGGGCAGGGCTTTGGGGCACTTCCTGCCCCCAGTGGTCGGTGACACCTGTGGCTGGGATCCTTCTGGGGCGCGGTCTGGGGCAGGAGCTCAATGCAGAGGGGCGCTGGGGCTCCGGGGAGGGGGGCAGGACGCCTGGCCTGGGCCCCGTGATTCAGGCTCAGTCGCTGACCTCCCGTCGTTTCCCCGAGCAGGATTTTGGGCTGGACGTCGCTGCTTTCTGCAACATGGTGGGGGACGACTGCCCTGCGGCCTTCCTCCAGCTGGCCTTCCACTGCTGCAGGGTACGTGTCCCCCTCTTCCCTTCCCTGCCCCTGGGCTGGGTCCCTGGGCCTGCCCCCACCACTGCACACCAAGACACGGGCAGGGCCTTCCTCCAGCTGGCCTTCCACTGCTGCAGGGTACGTGTCCCCCTCTTCCCCTCCCTGCTCCCGGGCAGGTCCCTGGCCCGCCCCCCACACCGCACACCAAGACACAGGGCAGCCGGGTGATTGCCTCAAACAGGGACCCTCGTCTGAAATTCTGATTCCTGGGGCCAAGGCCCTGCCCCCCGCCAGCCTGTCCCCGAATGGGGGGGTCCTGGCACCACAGAGCCACCAGGATCCGGCCTGTTCTCCCCTCCCTCGCCCCCAGCAACCGACCTCCCCCTGCTCCGGGGGGACGCTGCCCCGGCTCCTGCCCAGCAACCCCTCCCGAGTCCCGGGGGTGGGGGCCCCGGTGAAGCTGGGCAGGCGGGTGAGAGAGTTGGTGACGAGGCGACTCCCCCACCCAGATGGAGCCGACGGCCCGACCCGCCTTCGTGGAGATCACGCAGCGCCTGCAGGGCGTCCTGGAGCACCAGCTGGGAGCGGGGGGCACCGGCGCCGACCGGCAGAGCGATGGGGAGAGTGTGCCCTCGCCCGGGACCCCGGCCACGCTGAACGGTACCGTGACTGCCCCTGCCCGGGCCTGTCCGTCCTGCAGCCCCCGCCCCGGAGCACCCCCGGGACCCACTTGGCACTGGGCTGGGCTCTGCGGGTGCTGAAGGGACCCATAGGGCATGTGCTGCCCCCATGTGGCCAGAGCTGGGCGCTGCGGCCGCTGAGCCTGTCTCCTGGATGCTTGCTGGACAGCGCTGCAGCAAAGGGGTCCGCGGGCGGCCTGATGGCTGTCCCCCCGTGGGAGGGGTACGTGACCCGTCTCTCACCCCACTGAACTAATGGGGAGGCCCCACAGCCCTGGGGTGGGATCAGGCGGAAATGGCAGCCCCACTCTGTGGGGCGCGAGGGAGGGTGATGGGGCTGGCGGGACGCAGGCCTGCTGTGATAGGGCAGCAGGGTGCCCAGGGGGTTCTCCCGCCTGGTGCCCAGAGCCCCTGGCCACGCGCTGTGCCAGGCGCTCTCCAAACGGGCAGGAGGGGCTGGAGGCCGTGGGCCCGGCCCAGCCAGGGGGCTGCTAACCTGCTGTCTGTGTTGTGCCAGGCGAGGCAGCGAGCGAGCCCGCACTCCCTGAGCAGCCACCGCCGCGTGATCTGAGCTGGCCGCACCTCCAGCCCGACCCCCGCCTCGCCCGCAGCCGCTCGGACATGTTCCCGCCCAGGTCCCCGGCCCTGCTGCCGCCCCAGGAGCCCGCCGCGGGCGCCCGCCCCAAGGAGCTGCCGCCGCGTCTCAACCCCTTCTCCCAGCGCGAGGACCTGAAGGGCGGGAAGATCAAGCTCTTCGACACGCCCAGCAAGTCGGTCATCTCGCTGACCTTCGCCCTGCCGCCGCCCGCCCCCTACCAGCTGGGCACGCCCATCACGCCCGAGCCCGTGGTGGAGGCGCAGTGCGACTTCTCCGCCCCCCTGGTGCTGACACGCAAGTGCCGCTCGCTGCCCGCGTCCCCCGAGCCAGCCCGCCGCGGGAGCCTGGTGCTGGGGGGGGAGGCGGCCCGCACCTGCTGCCGGGAGGGGCCCCAGCCTCACAGCCCCTTCCCCACTCAGAGCTGGGGGGTGGCGGGGGAGGTGGCAGGGCGCTCGCCCCTCCCCAGCCCCCCCGCGGTGGAGCAGATGGACTGCAGCCCCGACAGCCCCGAGCCGGCGCCGGCCCCTGCCCCGCCGCTCATCAACAGCACCTTCATCAGCACCTCAGCGTCGGGCGCCCAGCCCTGGCCGCCGGGGCCCCCCAACGGCCTGCCCCTCAACAACAACAGCGTGGTGGTGAGCGCCCCGCCCGGCTGGGGCCGCGGCCTGGAGCGCGGCTTCTCGGAGCTCAGCATCCCCCGCACAGGGGCCTTGGAGCGGACGGAGCACTCGGGCGCGCTGCCCTGGCACGCCTCCAGCGCCGGGCGGGAGCAGGACGAGGTGCTGGCCTGCCCCGGCTGCTGCCTGGGCCCCTTCAGCTTCAGCTTCGCCTCCGTCTGCCATCGGCCCGCGCCCAGCCCGCCCCGCTACCAGCACCTCACCTGCGAGGCCAAGAGCCTCCTCTGCCAGGACAAGCGCCCGCCCGAGCCCAGCCTCAAGCTGCCGGAGGCGCAGTCCTAGTGCTGGGCAGACGGGACGATGGACACGACCCCCCCTGTGGCTCCGGCTCCCCCCACAGCCTGCGCTAGGCAGTGCCAGGAGCCCCGAAATCCCCACAACTCGCCCGCGCCGGGACCCGGTTCTGCCCTGGTGACCTGGCTGCCCCTAGAGCCGCCTCAGGGCCTCTCGCCGTGCTGGTGAGACCATCAGCCATTGCCAAGGCCACGCACAACCTGGGCTCGGGTCCTGGCTGGCCCAGTGTGACCGGGGGTGGGGGGAGACTCGTGCAGGGAGCTCCAGGCTGGGCACGGACCCAGCGGCGAGGTGGGGCCGGCTCTGAGTGGGGCTGGCTCCCTCCGGTGGCACCAGGGGCGGTGAGTCGCGCTGGGCTGACGTGCAATAACATGGCTGCCTCATGCGCACGGCCGCGTCGGGGCCGGCGCTTCCCCTAGGAGGGGGAGCGGTGCCGGTTCATGCCCCACCATGGGGACGGGGCTGCGTGGAGGGGCTCTGCACCCCACTCAATGCTGGGGGCTCCGGTGACCAGCCACTGAGGTGCGGCCCTGATGGACCAGCGGGGCGCGGTGCCACCCAGGAGTCTCTGGGAAGGCACGCGGGGGCAGGTGGGCTGGGCCGGCCCTCCATCCCGCCTTCCCTGCCTGCGGCTGTGGGGAGAGGAGCGGGGCTGACCCCCAAGCAGGCACAGTCAGGTGGTCACTCCGGGGCCTGGGGCTCCTCCCTGGCCGCCTGTCCCTGCACGTCCGCTCCCCGGCCCCCGCGCTCAGAGGCGATGGGAGCACAAGCCGGGGGGGGGGCAGCAGTGTGCACTGGGGGGGCTCCCCTCTGTCCATCACACATGGGTAAGGGGCCGGGTAACGGGTGAGCCGGGCGCTGAGCCGGGGTGACAGCGTGACGCCTGTCCGTGGTGGGGGGCAGGGCCTGCGGCCCGCCGGGCACAGAGCAGACTGGATGCCAGTCACTGGCAAGTGGGGATAAATACACCCCCCCTACACACACACATCATCACTTCCTGGTTCAGGCCCTGCCCCCTCCGTGGCGGCTGTGAAGTGGCCTGTGGGGCAGGTCTGTTTGCAATATGGTGGCTGGGGCATGCCCCCCCCCTCCGAGCTGCGTCCCCAAGCTGCCCAGCCCCTGCCCGGGGGCGGCACCCAGGCTCCCCCCCCAACGTACACGATGCACTGGTGAATGCAAACTCTTGTTTTTTATTATGATTAATAATTGCTAGTAATATATGCAGCTTATTTAAGGTGTTCCAATAAAAGTGACGGTCCCAGCGTCCCCTGTGTGTGCCGTGCGATGGGGGGGAGGCTGAGCTGGCTGGTTGCAGGACAGGGACACAGCCGGGCCTGGGAGCGCGAGTCAGGAGAGCCCATCTCAAGCGAGGCCCCTCGGTGCCGTGCCTCGGTTTCCCCATCTGTGCCCTCAGGACTGCGCAGGGCTCTGGGGGTGGGGAGCGTGTCAGCAGCACTGAAGGCTGTTCCAGCCCCATGGGGCCCCTGGTTGCAGCACGGGGCAGAGGGGGTGGCGGGGGGGCAGGCACTCGGGCAGTGGGGCCGGTATGGGAGGTGTGAAGGGAGTTGTTGCTGTGGAGGGTGTTGGTCCTTGCCGCCCTCCCGCTGGGGCCAGGGAGATCCACTGGTGGGAGGGATGGAGCCGGTCCTGTGCTGGGAGCACGCTGGGGCCACCCTGCCTCCAGCCCAGCACCAGCATCTTGGGGTGGGGCTTGGGCACTGCCCCATCTGCCCCTTGACCCTGCGCTGCCCCCTCTACTCAGCCCAGCCCCCTGCAGCGCCGCTCCCACTCCAGCCTGGCCCCAGGCACGCAGCCGGCTCCCACCCCCCTGGGATCGCCGCTCAGTGACCCTCCTTGGTCATAAACCTCCACACACCTGGGCCTGCTCTGCCCCCCGCCTCAGCACCGGCCTCCTCCCACGCCCTCTGCTCGCCGCCAGCCTCCGGCCGCTCGGCCCCTGCACTGCCCAGCGGGGGGAGGTTTGTGTCTCTGAAGGCGGGGGGGCGTGTTGTGATGCTGAAGCCCCGGGGGGGGGGCGTGTTGTGTCTCTGAAGCGCAGCGGGGGTGGGGGGCGTGTTGTGATTCTGAAGCCCCGGGGAGCGGGGGGGGGCGGGGCGTGTTGTGTGGGCATTTAGTGCAGCAGGGCGGGCAGAGCTGCCAGGGAGCCCACGCTCGGCAGGGCCGCTCGCCCCCATAGAACCCAGCCCCACGTGCGGGAAGGGGGCTGGCTGTCAGCTGAGGGCGGGCGGCTCTTTTCCTGGGCATGACGCCCCCAGCCCTTCACTGCGATCGCCCAGCCCAGCACGTGAGCTGGCTCCTGCCAGGGGAGGCCGGGCTCCAGGCTGGAGCAGGGGGCAAGGCTGAGTGTGGAGCGGGCGGTGCTGGTGGGGCCAGCCCTCGGGTGCTGCATCCTCGGCAGTGGGAGCAGGGCACGAAGGCGGCGCAGGAGCCGAGCCTGGAGCAGCGGGAGCTGTAAGGGAACAAACCGGGTGAGCTGGGCCGGAGGGTCAGTCGCCCGCCCGCGCTGGGGCAGGCCTGAGACCCAGAAGGCTGGAATGGCTCTGCCTGGGCTGTGCCCCTCATACAGCCGGGGTGGGGAGCAGCGCTGTAGGGTGGTGGTGGGGGCTGATCCTGTGGCTCTCCACTGCCTGGGGAAGGGGGTGAGTTGGGGCCTTAGCGCCGGCTGATTTGGGACATGCCGAGGGCGACGCGAATCTACCCGACTGGTGCCCTGGAGCCGCCGGGGGAGCCTGGCTGGTGCTTTCGTTCTCACACGTCCTCAGTTGTACGGAGCCTGGATCTGCACCAGTGAGGAGGGGGATGGGCGCTCTCACTGGGCCCCCACTGCCCTGTTACCCCACCACAACCCACGAAACCCACGGCTAACCTGTTGTGACAAAGTGGGAATGTTGATAAGGTTTTCTCTGAATACTGTGTGGGTGCCTCAGTTTCCCCTATGCTGTTCTTAAGTATCTAGGTGGTGGGAGAAGGGGGTGTGATTGTGGCAGAGCCCTAGTGGGCAGATGTGATGGTGCCTGCACAGAAAATGGCCGACACTCTGTCTCCTGGCAACTAATGGCCTGGGCCTTTCTCCCCTGCAAGGGGATAGGAAAAGGTGAACAAAGAGATCAGGTGACCTCCTGGCCCGGGAAAGGAACAAAGCCCAGAGAGGAGGGGCTGGAGGGGGTTTCAGTTTGGAGCTGGCTGGGGATGGGAAGTGAGGGCAGATGGGGGTGTCTGGCTCGCTGGGCCCCCAGAATGGACCTGGCTGAGGGGTCCCGTTCGCTGGACCGACAAGCTCTGTTTTAGACCGTGTTCCTGTCATCTAATAAACCTCTGTTTTACTGGCTGGCTGAGAGTCACGTCTGACTGTGAAGTGGGGATGCAGGACCCTCTGGCTTCCCCAGGACCCCACCTGGGCGGACTCGCTGTGGGAAGTACACAGAGGGGCATATGCTGAATGCTCCCAGGAGAGACCCAGGAGGTGAAGCCATGTGAGCTTCTTGACCTGAAGACAGTCTGCTCCGAGGGAGAGGAGGCTCCCCAGAGTCCTGACTGGCTTTGTGGGGAGCAGTTCCAGAGCATCGCCCGGGGACTCCGTGACACCCCCTCAGCACCACCCTGCAAACCCACCACTCCCCCCCCCCCCCCCCCCCGCCCCCCCCTCCGTGTCCCCTGCCCCCCCAGCCCGACCCTGCAACCCCCCCGCTCCCCCGTGTGCCCTGCCCCCCCAACACCGCCCTGCAAACCTGAACCTCGCCCAGGATGCCCCCAGTACAGGGATGGTGATCCAGACTTACAGGAGTGTCCTGCAGGGCTCTCATTGATTGTCTCTTCAGGGACTCCAAGGAAACCACAGTCCGTGTGAGCTGGGTTGGCTGGCTGCCTTCTCACAGATCCATGGCTTTTGATAATAGCATCTGTCACTGCTTATGACACCACCTCTTATTATTCCACACGGCTTAGAGGTGTAACTCCAATAGCTCGAATCTCTGGAAAGAAAAGGGGCATTACTGAGAGGGCACGTCCCACACTGCACTGGCTGTCAGCTGTGCCACCCTGGTGTTCCAGCGGGCGCACTAATCCCAGCTCCCCGTCGATTTCAAGGCCAGAGTCACTTCACCCAGTGGCA